GGTGGGTTTATGGGTGCTCTGGGTGCAGTGGGGGCAGTGGGTCCTACGGCAAAGTGGGTTTTAGGGGTGGTTGGGGTGCAGTGGGAGCACAGGGGAAGCGGGTGTAATGGGAGATGAGGGTGCTGCACGGGTGCTGGCTACTCACGGGTGAGGAAGCACATGGTGGGTGCCCGGCTCGGTGTCTCCTCCTCTGCAGCACAGCCCTGCCCAGTCCAGCCCGGCTCCTCTCGCTCCTGCCCGGCCGTGCTCATTGATCGGGTGGCATTTATAGTGCACGGGCCTCGGGGATTCTCAACGATGAGGCAACAGCGCGATTGCTTCACTGCCTTAATTACAGCATGCAAATCTCCCGACCCGGCTGTGGGGCTTTCCCGGGGCCGGTGGGCAGCGGTGCCCCTCAGTGCCCCTCGGAGTGGCGGCAGCCGCCCGGTGCAGCCCAGGCACGGAGGCGGGCGCTGGGACAGGGCAGGGGGTGCCTTGGTGACTTATTAACCTGCTCGCAGGGCTCCCACTGCACTGGCCAGGTGGGCCAGTGCCCAGCACAGCGGGGTCATGTGCAGGGGCACTCACAGGGTCACTCACAGGGTCACTCACTGGTGTCCCGCCAAGGGGATGGTGGCTTCTCGCTGTTGCTGTCACTTTGTGGTTGTCCCCATCCCCATCCCATGTGGGCAGCACCCCCTGTCAGCTGCCCCAGACATCAGGGTGGGTGCTGGTGGTGTGACCTTCATGGTGGTGGCACCAGCTGGAGGTGGCCAAGGTTAGACCCGGTCCAGGCACCTGCCCAGGGCTGTGGCTCCTCGGGGCAGCACTACGGGGTCAGATCCGGTTCCTGCAAGTCCCTCCAGGATCTGTTGGGCGGGTGCCAGCTGGCTGGCTCCTGCCTGGCACGGGCTGGCCGGGGCACAGGAGGCACCCGCTCTCCTCACAGCCCCAGACAGGGTGACCCCAGGGCAGCATTCGGCTGGGGAGGCTCATTCTGCACCCCTGACCTCTGGCTGGGTCCCATTGATGCCCTCCTGGAGGCTGTGTGGACAGGGATGAGGACAGGGATTGGGACAGGGATGGGGACAGGGATGGGGACAGGGATGAGGACAGGGATGTGGACAGGGATGAGGACAGGGATGAGGACAGGGATGAGGACAGGGATGGGAACTCGGTCTCTGCAGGTTGCAGATGTTGGTGGGCACTGGGGTGGGCCACACATCCAGTGGGGTACAGTTTGTGGGGTACGGTTTGTGGGGTACAGCCACAGCACCAGACCCAGAAGCTGGAAGTCCTGGAAGTTCCTGTCTCCAGCTGGGAAATAAACCCCCATCAGCTGGAACCAATCCATGAGCACCAAGCGGAGCCTTCCTGGCACAGCCAGGTGTGAGCTCTGACAGCTCCTGCTGACCTCCCTTCAAACCTGGCAGCACTAAACATTCTGCCCTCCGGGTGTGTGAAAGGACCTTGCCAGCAGAGACTGTTCATGGGATTTTTGGGAGACACAGCCCCCCCAGCTGTGCCTGTCCCCACCCTGGAGCCAGGGAGAGCCGGTGGCCATCGAGGGGCTCAGCAGGGTCCCCTCAGTCTGAGCACCCACGGGACCACCCCAGAGCGGAGCTGCCCCCTCAGCAGGACGGTGCTTTCAGGAATTGTGATGGGGGCGTGGGGGGGTTGAATCAGTGCCCACAGGCCCTGTCAGCTTTCCAAGGAAGGAAGTGGTTTCAAATCCGAAACTGGGGGTGTTGGGGGGTGGGGGAAGGGGGTGGCCCAGCAAACCCTCCACCCCCCCTCACCATGGGGCTGGAGCTGCTCAGCCCAGGGACTATTCCAGGCATCCACCCTGCTCCGTTTCAGCCTCGTGGTCACCCTTCCTCTTCCCGGGGCCCAACCCAGGCGCCCTCAGTGCCTTCCTGACATCTGCCAACAGATCAGCGTGCCCAGGATGTCCCTGTGTCCCCAGTGCCAGCCCCCCTGGCTGGGCTCTTGCCTTCTTTGGTCTCCCCCAGAGACCCCCAGAGCGGGAATGGGCTGGGACAGCCCCGCTCCTGACCTGCAGCCCTGGCTGCTATCCCGGCATGGGCGCGGCTGGGAGATTCCCAGATTTTCTCAGAGAACTCATCCAGCCTAGATGGGGCTGATGCTGATGGGACCCACCTAGAGTGGCATGTCCCCTGTCCCCATCACCCCCAGGGTTGGTGCTGTGGGGCACAAAGGGGGCTCTGTGCCTTTCCCCATGGAATCCTCCTGGGATGCCATCCTGGAGCTGCTGGGCCACTCCCCCAGGATGGCCTGACCAGATCTAGTCCCATCTCTGGTGCCCAGCCCCAGGGAGAGAGCAAAGACCCCAGACCAGCCCCACGTCCCTTCCCCATCCCAAGAAACCCACAGCAGGAGCCACCCAGGCTGGTGTTTTTCCATCTTTTATTTTAAAAGTCATAATTGAAGTTTAACAAAGTTTGACCCCGTTGCTGTTGTGGGAGCTGGGAGGGCACCAGTGGAGACCCCCCTCCTGCTCCCTCCAGCCCCGCTCCCCTCGCAGCCCCCCAGCATCAGCTCCGATGTCAGCACAGGGATCCTTTCAAGGATGTTTATTGGGGAGGGGGTCCCACCACAAGTGCAGGTGGTCAGGGGGTGTGGGCCCAGGGAACCCCCCGTGTCCCCTCCCACAGTACAGACATGCAGGAATTTATAAAAGGGGGTCTGGGGGGACGGAGGGCCCTGCTCAGCAATCATCTGTCCAAGGGACAAATAAAAAAGTACAGTCAGGGCCCAGGGTCACGGAAAACCGTCGTCATCGTCCTCTGCCATCTCCTTGGCAAACTCCAGGTCCTGCTGCTCACGCTCCCGGCGCTCCTGGAAAGCAAAGGCAGAGGTTGGTGGCAGGTGGGGACAGGAGTCACATCCTTCCCATGGCCACAGTGGCTGCAGAGATCTCACCTCTGCAGATTCCAAGTCCTTGTTGTAAGATTTGGGTGGGAACCTCATGGCCTGGAGAAAAAGAAGAGGAGAAGGAGGAGCTCAGAGCTGAGCCAGCCCTGAGCTGTGTCCTGCTGTCCCCATCAGGGACCTGGGGACAGGCTGTGCTCACCTTCACGGACATGTTGTGGATGTCGAGGCAGAAGGAGATGCGCTGGTGGAAGGCCAGCTGCGGCTCCCGCGTGGAGTAGATGTCGATCATCTCCTTGGACTGGACGTAGCCCTTCTCGTGGTTGATGCTGGCCTCGATCACGCCGTCCCGGATGGCCTGTGAGCCCGGGCACGGGGCAGGGGTGTCCCCAAGGGCTCACACAGAGCGGGGACGTGGCACCCTGAGTGTGCCCAGTTTTCCAACCCAAACCCAGCGGTGCTGCAGGGAGGGGTGTGGGGGAACGGGGCAGGATGGGGGCTGTGGGCACCCCAGGACCCCACAGGGATGGGACTCACTGTGCTGGTACCTTGGCAACGATGAACTCGGCGTCCTCGGGGCTGTCCAGCTGCAGCTTCTGGGCAATGTCGGCCAGGGAGATGCGGGAGTAGGAGAGGCTGATCATGCGGACACCTGCAGGGAGAAGGGGACGGGATGCAGCTCCCCGGCCTGCCCAGTCTGCTGGGGGTCCCCAAACACCCTCCTACCTGTCTTGATGACGTTGTGCCTCAGCCGAATGATCAGGGTGTAGGTGCCATCGGCCTGGAACTTGTCCCCAAACTGGTCAAGGACTTGGTTGAACTTGGCCAGGTTCCCCGTCCTGACGGCTGCAGGGAAGAAGGTGGGAAAGGGGGAAGGAGAAAAGCTGGGGAAAGAGTCAGGGCTGGCTGACTTCCTCCTTCTCCTCCTTCCCAAGTGGCATCTGCATCCAAGTCCCATCAAGGGGAGAGAAGAGAATTCCCACTGGGTCCCTTCCCACTCAGGATATTCCATGATCCTCTGACCCCGCAGGAAGGACAGACAGGCAGGGGTGGGCGGCCATACCCTGGGTCAGCAGGAAGTAGGGCATGAGCGAGCGCTTGAGCGAGGGCTGCCGGAACTGGAGCCTGTCCGGGATCTCCCCGAGGAGCAGCTCCACCACGATGAGCAGCTTATGCACCTGGGGCACAGCGAGACCCTGAGTGAGCCCCCATGGGGCCTGAAACCATCCCTGTCCCTGTGCTTTCCAAGAGGCCTTGCACCTATCCCCGTGTGGCACAAGACCCCAGGAGATCCCAAACCTGTTCCTGTCCCTGTGAGGCCTGGAAGGTCACAGATTTGTCTCTGGGAAGTTCCAAACTTAGGAGGTCCTGCACCTATCATCCCTGCAGGGCCCAGCACCCTGGGAGGTCCCAAACCTGTCCCCATGGGGCCTGACCCTGGCAGATCCCACACCTGTCCCTGCAGAGCCCAAACCTGGGGGGTCCCAGATCTCATTCTGGAAGGTGCCAAGCCCGGGAGGTCCCAGAAGTGCCCCCGTGGGAGCTCAGCTCTGGGGAGTCCTGGACCTGACCCTGGGAAGTCCCAAATCCCAAGGGACCTGACTCCTTGGGGCCTGACATCCAAGGAGGCCCCAAACCTGCCCCAGGATCTCCCAAACCTGGGAGATCCCAAACTAAACTCCATTGGGCCTGACATCCCAGAAGGTCCCAAACCCAATTCCATGGAGCCTGACATCCCAGAAGGTCCCAAACCAAATTCCACGGGGCCTGACATCCCAGAAGGTCCCAAACCCAATTCCACGGGGCCTGACATCCCAGAAGGTCCCAAACCCAATTCCATGGGGCCTGACATCCCAGAAGGTCCCAAACCCAATTCCATGGGACCTGACATCCCAGAAGGTCCCAAACCCAATTCCATGGGGCCTGACATCCCAGAAGGTCCCAAACCCAATTCCATGGGGCCTGACATCCCAGAAGGTCCCAAACCCAATTCCATGGGGCCTGACATCCCAGAAGGTCCCAAACCCAATTCCATGGGGCCTGACATCCCAGAAGGTCCCAAACCCAATTCCATGGGGCCTGACATCCCAGAAGGTCCCAAACCCAATTCCATGGGGCCTGACATCCCAGAAGGTCCCAAACCCAATTCCATGGGGCCTGACATCCCAGAAGGTCCCAAACCCAATTCCATGGGGCCTGACATCCCAGAAGGTCCCAAACCCAATTCCATGGGGCCTGACATCCCAGAAGGTCCCACATCCAACCCCTGTGAGATCTCTGACGGGTCTCAGAGCCAAGCCAGGGGTGTCCTGCCCCCTCCTCACTCACCGTCTGCTTGAAGCCGACGGCCGTGTGCTGCGGGGCCTTGCGCAGGGCGTTGGTCATGGTGCGCCGTGCCTCCGAGTACTCCAGCTGGATGGCCTTGATCCGCCCTGGGCGGGTGGGGAAAGCCACCCAGTGAATCCAACCTGCCCTGCATGGATGGGGCTCCAAATCCTGCCTGGAAGCCCCTCCTCCAGCTGCTCACAGGGGCTCTCAGAGGGTGCTGGGAGGCAGGGCAGGCACCGAGCCAGCTCACCTGTGTAGTACAGGTAGCGAGCCCACTCGTTGTTGTTGGCCTGCTCGGGGAACACGGATTTGGAGACGAGCTTCTCGGCCTGGTCGTAGAGGTTGTAGTGGAGGTAATTCCTCAGGAGCAGGTTCAGGAGCGTGGCCTGGCCGTCGGCGTCGTGGCGCAGCGTGGCCGTGCGGAGCCGGGCGTGCAGGAAGCTGCGGGGTGGGACGGGGAGTCAGGGAAGAAGAGGGAGGAAAACCAGGGGGGATCACGTTCAGGGAGAGACCCCCAGGGACCCATCCCACCTCCGGACCACGTCGAGTTTGTTCAGGAATTCGTAGATGCGGGAGTGGTAATAGTAACACTTGGCCACCACCAGGTCCAGGGCCCGGCGGTTCTGGGAGCTGATCTTCTGCATCAGGTCATCGGACACCTTCTGAGCCTGCGGGACAGGAAGGGAGGTCAGGGCAGGGCTCTGATCCCACGAGGGGCAGAGACCGCCCAGGCTGTGGGGCTGAGCCTAGGGAGCAACTGAACGCTGCTGGATGAGGGGACAGCACGAGGCAGGGGGTGCCTGGGGAGCAGAGCACTGCAGGCAGCTCAGGGCTCTCACCTCGGGGTACCTCTTGCTGTTCATCAGGTAGATGACGAGCAGCAGTTGCAGGTAGGCCTCCACCTCTGGCAGGAGAGGGGCTGAGGCTGCTTTCCCCGTCCGTGGGCGGAACTGCAGCTCAGCTTCTGTGTCCATGGACTGAGGGGAGAGAGAAATTCTGGATCCCTGTCCCCGTGCGGAGACAGCTCTGCTCCAGGTGTGACAGGAGCCAGCCCAGGGCCACAAGGACCTGTCCCAGCAGAGAGGCTGCTCATCCCCAGTGTCCCCAAACCTCTCTGCCCTACTCCAGAGGCTCCTTGGAGAGGGAAAGAATCATGGAATCCTGGAGTTTTTTGGGTTGGAGGGGCCTTCAAGTTCATCCCTACCCTCCCATGGGTATGGACACCTTCCACTAAACCAGGTTGCTCCAAACCTTGTCCATCCCAGCCACGGACACTTCCAGGGATGAGGTAGCCACAACTTTCCTGGGAAGCCCATTCCAGTGCTTCACTGCCCTCAGAGGGAAGAATTTCTGGCCAGTATCCCATCTAATCCTGCCCTGTGTCAGTGGCAAGCCATTCTCCCTTGTCCTTGTCACTCCAAACCCTTGTAAATAGTTCCTCTCCATCCTTCCTGCTGCTTCTTCAGACATGGGAGGCCATAATTAGGTGACCCCTAAACTTTCTCTTCTTCAGGCTGAACCATCCCTACGCTCCCTGTCTTTCCTCACAGCTGAGCTGCTCCATCCCTTTGATAATCCTCTGGATTTGCTCCTACACCTCCACACCCTTCCTGGGGCACTGGGGCAGCTCTGCTGGTGGGGGGTGTCACCAGGGCCGGTCAGAGGTGAGGGCAGCCCCTACCTCCTCCAGGAATCCCAGCAGGAAGTCCCTGACAGTGCAGTTGGAGGTGAAGAAGCCGTGGATGGCCTTGTGCAGCACGTTGGGGTTGAGGCGGCGGGAGGTGGAGGGCAGAGCTCGCAGTGCCCGCAGGACGTAGCGCGGCTCCTTCCCCGACACCGCCTTCTCCAGCTGCTTCACGTGCTCCTTGATGTCTGCAGGGGCACACCGACACCCTCACCCCAAATCCTCTGCCAGCAGCACCCCGGAGCAAAGCCAGGGCTGCCCCATCGCCCCATCCTGCTGTGCTGAGGTGCCTCTGCCCATGGCTTTGGTGTCCCCAGTGACCCATCCCTGCCCTCAGGGCTGTCCCTGTTTGGAGCAGGGGGCTGGTGAGGCTCTTGCAGAGTTTTCTCCCTCCTCCCGAAGGGCTCTGCACCCCTGTGGGGTCCCACCATTGCAGCCCCCCTGTCCCTCACAGTCTGTCCCCAGAACACAGCCTCACAGAGCTGCCCCAATTCCCTTCTACAGCCACCCCTCCAAACCACAATTCCATCCCTCATTCTTCCGTGACCCCAAAGCCAACCTCCCCCTTGCCTTCCCTCACACACTGCCCCAAACACCCTTCTCCACAGTGTCTCCCGCACAAAAACACAGCTCCCACCTCCACTTCCCTCTCTAAATCCCTTTCCCCACAGTGACACCCCCCAAGCACACCTCCCCTCTCCCTTTCCCACACAGTGCCCCCCATCTCCCCTTCCCCAAAGCGTTCCCGTACCCTAAACTCATCTCTCATTTCCCTCAGAGCCCCTCCAACTGCCCCCCAACACTGATCCAAACATTCCCCTCCTCCAGCACCTTTCCAGCCCCTTTCCCACCTCCCCTCAGGTACCCCCACCCTGACCCCCTCAGGGCTTCCTATCCGTCCCCCCAACCCCCTCCTGCACCACCCCCCTCTCAGGGGTTCCCCCAATCCGTGCCAGGCCCCTTCCACCCCCAAGACCCCCCAGTCCCCCCTCACGCCCACAGACACCCCCCATTACAACAACACCCCCGCCTCACCCTCCAGCGTGATCGCGTCCAGCTCCCGCTGCGGCTGCCGCTCTCCGCCCGCCTCGGGGGCCACCGGCGCCGCCTCCTCGTGCATCTCGACGTCGGGGGGCGCGGGCGGGGGTCCCTCCGGGGGTGCTTTGGCCTTGTCGCCGCGGCGGCGGGACGCGCCGTCCTGCTTCATGGCGTGACACTGCACAACGGGCCGCCAGGCGCGGCCAGCCGAGCGCCGAGCGGCGCACCGTCGGCTCCTTCCGCCGCCGCTCGGGCTGTTCCGCCGCCGCTCGGGCTGTTCCGCCGCCGCTCGGGCAGTTCCGCCGCGCCGTTCGGATCGCTCGGGCACCGCTCGGGGAGTTTCGTGACGCTATCGGGTGTTTCCGCCTTCGCTCGTAGAGTTTCGCTCGGGCGTTTCGGCCGAGCCCTCTCGGAATATTCCGCCATCTATCGGCTTCTTTCGCCTCTCTCTCCTTCGGGAATCTCCGTAGAGCTTTCGGGTGCTGAGCTGTTCCCGCCTTTTGGGGGCGCGGGCGAGTCTTCGCTGAGGTCCCGTGAGGGGTTTGTCTGTAACGGGACATCCCGTGAGGGGCTTGTCGGTAACGGGACATCCCCTGAGGGGTTTGTCTGTAACGGGACATCCCCTGAGGGGTTTGTCTGTAACGGGACATCCCGTGAGGGGTTTGTCTGTAACGGGACATCCCCTGAGGGGTTTGTCTGTAACGGGACATCCCGTGAGGGGTTTGTCGGCAACGGGACATCCCGTGAGGGGTTTGTCTGTAACGGGACATCCCGTGAGGGGCTTGTCGGTAACGGGGCATCCCGCGAAGGGTCAGTGAGGGATTTGTCTTTAACGGGGCATCCCGTGAAGGGTTCGTGAGGGGTCGGGCTGGGATCGAGGATTCCTTGAGGGGTCCCGTGAGGGATCGCACTGGGATTGGGGATTCCGTGAGGGGTCCCGTGAGGGATCGCACTGGGATCGGGGATTCTGTGAGGGGTCCCGTGAGGGATCGCACTGGGATCGGGGATTCTGTGAGGGGTCCTGTGAGGGATCGCACTGGGATCAGGGATTCTGTGAGGGGTCCCGTGAGGGGCCGGGCTGGAGCTAGATCGGGGGTCCCGTGAAGGGTCCCTGGTAGGGCCGGGCTGGGATCGGGGATTCTGTGAAGGGTCCCTTGTGGTCCGTGTGGGGTCGGGCTGGGACCGAGGATCCTGCAAAGTGTCCCTTGTGGGCTTGGGGATCCTGTGAGGGGCTGAGCTGGGATCGATAATCCCGTAAGTGATCCGGTGAGGAGACGGACTGAAGGCTGGGAGCAGGGGTCCCAGGAGAGGCCAGGTTGGAGCTGGGAGTTCTCTGAGGGGTCTGCTCTGGGTCTGGGGCCAAAGGGTCTTACGACGATTCCAGGTTGGAGCTGGGCTCCCCTCGTAGCTGTTGCAAGGCAGAGCCCGGCTCCTGGTGCTGGAGATCTTCCCAGAGCCATCAGTGCCCGCACAGGTGAGCAGTGCTGCAGGCACCCGTGGCCTCCAGAGACCCTCCCACGGCCCCACAGCCTGAGGGGCTCCCCGACTTCCCCCAGGGCTAACTGCCTGTGTTTTTCATATTGTATGCCGAGCTTGTCAGATGTACTTGACAGAAATGGACTTTGAGAACACCCAATTGCGTAGCAAGAAAGTTCTCTTTATTTATAGAGTGATGTATGCTTGCTCTAAAGTGCTACATGTGTCCATTGAACATCTCAGGGATGATGGCAGTGACCAGGGAGATGTCAGTGGAAGAAATTCACTTTGATATCCAACCTTTTGTAGGCATAATGAATTTTCCTGCCTCAAGTTCCCTTTTGCCAGCCAAATCAGCCTTGATTATTAACAAGGATGATACTAGGAGAGAAAACTGTCTTGTCAGCAAAGATTTCACAAGACCTCGCACACTGGTTCCCTGGGCAGGGCCAGGTACAGCCTACCACTCAGGAAGTTAAGGGCATACAGGGCCACAAACAGGGCTGCCACGGCCTCGAAGGATTGATCCCTAGGGACAGCTAAACCATCTTGCTGGAGCTGCACTCCACTCAGCTCCACCAGGGCAATGGTCAACATCTGTTCCTCCTCTTGTGAGAAGAGCAGCCCGGAATCCACTAGGAAGGAGTCCACCCCTTTATCCAGGTCATGTTTCAGGAGGTTTTCAACCTTCACAGAAACAACAAAAAAAAGCAAAATCAGAATTTCAATCAGTTGTCAACTCGTGTCATTGTTACGGAAATGTTGCTAGAATGAACATAGCCCCCACCTCCCCTTGAAAGGAGCCAAGTGTGATTTGTGTTCTCACCAGGTTCAGCTGTTGGGACACAATCTTCCTTTCCAAGGATTCCAGCAGCAGCAGCAGCTGATCCTCCGTTAACTCTGCAGAAATAAACTGGGTTGGATCCAAAACCTCTCACCAAGGTGATGGAGGTTACTGGTGGGCTGGGACTGGAGAGCAGGATGGGAAAGAGTGAAGAGGATGGGAAGGGTGATCATTTCCTGTAGGAAATGCTCCTTTGGTCTAAAGTTCTTTGGATGTTTTAACAGAAATTATTTGTGCAGGCTCACTGTGAGAGTGATCTGGCTGTTGCTCACACAATCATGGAATGCTGGGTTGGAAGGGACGTACAAGGATAATTGATGTACAACTGCTGTCCCTGCACAGGACAGCCCAACAATCCCACCGTGTGCTGAGAGCATTGTCCAAACACTGCTGGAGCTGTGTCAGCCTTGGGGCTGTGCCCATTCCCTGGGGAGTGTGTTCAGTGCCTGAGCAGCCTCTGGGATAAGAAGCTTTCCCTGAAATCCAGTGGAAGTGTCCCAGACACAGCTCCAGCCATTGCTTGGCTCCTGTCGCTGGTCACAGAGCAGAGATCTGGGCTGCCCCTTGGGAGGAAGCTGTGACCAGCCTTTGAGGGAGCAGGGAGCCCTGGATGGTGCAGAGGGGGTTTGTCTCCTCTCCCCTCCACGGGACTTGGATGTAGATTCCACTTGAAGAGGAGGAGGAGTAAGAGAGGAAGGCAGGAGGGAATGGCAGGAGTGGGAGTCATCCCTGCCTTGATTTCCCTCTTGAAGATCCAAAGCCTCACCATGCAAAGCGTCAAGGACGTAGGTGATTCCCTCTGCCAGCAGGAGATGGTCTTTTGGAGAATGCTGCAAGGTGCTGAACAGATCTTTTAAGTCTGGGCTCTCAATTTCCAGCTGATAACCATCTTCTTGCTCAGGAACTTCTTCCATCTGGAGGAACAAGAAAAAGAATTAAGTCAGGATTTGAGGGCCGAGGCTGCTGCTTGTCCTGAGCAGGGAGATGTGCTGAGTGAGGGAAATTTGGATGGACAGTTGTGGCACAGGGCAGGTGACTTGTGGGGCAAGAGGTGTGTTTGTGGATATGTCTGTATTGTAAACTGTGGCAGTAAGAAAAGCTTCACTTACTTTCTGTCTGAGCTCTTGAAGGAGGTTCTTGTCTCTCATCACAGCTTTGATGGTGTTTAAGATGATGAGCAGCAGGTCAGGAGACAACTCGGTGAAAATTCGGCAGGAATATTGAACTTCTGTCATCACTTCTCCTAATTTTCCTGTTGAGGGACCTGCAAACCAGAGGCAGTCGAAATCTGTCACTTGAGTTCTAGGAGTTCACAGGCAGCTCTAGACCCAGAGTTTGAAACACTCCTTTGAAGCAATATGGAATTGGGGCAGTTGTGATGTCTCAGGGGAGAGGCAAATGCATCTATGCTGGTGGTTTGTTTTATGCTGGGAGATTCCATCTTACCCGAAAGTTGTGCAAGTGGAAGCAGTAAAATGCAATACTTACCATCAGCTACATAAGCCATCTTTCTCACACTTTCTGCTGGGAAATAATCCAGATCTAAAAGAGGATAAAAGCGACAGTTTTCTATACCAGCCCTCCCAGTGGTGGTCACCCACTCAGTTTCCTCCCTGGCTCTTCTGAGTAGCAAAGGAAAAGAAACACCAAAACTCTGCTCTTTGTGCCATTTATCACCAGGAGCTCTGCAGATCCTGAAATGGGGATCTGAGGCTTTCTTTTTTCCTTTGTTTACTGACCCCTACCCAAACGCCATCTTTGACCTTGCATGGGTTATCTGACCTCCTGCAGGTGATTTCTGTCTCTCACACTGCTTCCTCATATTTCCAGACAAGCTGAAGGTAGCTCTGCGGGCAAGAGGTGCTTCATAAAATGTCCTTCCTCTTCTGGAATGGAGAACTTGGGCATTTCAGGAAGTTGCTTACCCCATGCTCCATCTCTAATGTGTAGTGGGATGGTCCTGAAGGCCAGTGTGCAGCCCTTGGGTATCACTATGCTTTGTTTGTCCTCCCTGTTGCTCTGGAAAGAGAAAACAACCTGTTAAACCACCTGGGTGCAGGTGTTGGGGAAGTAAAGAGGGAGAAGCCAAACCTGTGCACAGAGTGTGGCGTAAAATTTGGCCTTGAAGCCCCCATCTGCCTTGGTGGATTCCTTGTAGACGGCCTCCTCTGAGGCTTCGAGGATTTCAGTGACCACGTGCAGCTGGATGTTTGTTCTCCGGAGCTGTCGGATGAAGGAATGATCCATGTTGATTTCTCTAAAAGAGGAAAAGATTAGGAAGGGTTTGCAGCACCAGAGCTGAGGCATCTGGGGGGGATAAGCCTCTATAAGAGGAGGCTTATGGGGGAATTTGTCACTCCATTCTCTGTCCAACCTGGCCTAGTTAGAGGAAGTTCATGCCCTAAGGTTTTAATCTTGGTTTTTGGCTGTTGAAAACCCATTGTTAACCTGGTGTGTGCTGGAGGGGGATGACTGGAGTGTGTGTGCTCCCTTTGTCATTCCTTACCTTTCTCTTCTCAGTGCCTCCAGCGATTCCAGTGATATGCTCTTCTTCTGTGGTGTAATGGAAATCTCTTTGGACAAGGAGGCACCTCCTTTCAGCTCTACATTTGTAGGGTCAAGTGAAATGCTGAGACCTCCATCAGCTTGGTCAGCTCTGACTTTTGTGAGAGTAAATTGGCTGGATTCTTGATGGACCGACTCTGAAATAATTCCATGTGTTATCTTAAGCAGGATTACACAGACTCAGAACTGTAAGTATATCACACACAGAGGAAAGCTGGAACTTGGTAGAGTTCAGCCACAAATGGTTCAAAAACATTATCTGTGGTATTTGATAAATTCATATTGATAAATTTGGGGCTTACCTATGCTTTTATGATCTTCTCCAGGCAGCAGCACATCATCCAGTGTGAACCCTGTCCGCTGGTAATAGGGAGCTGGGTGAAATATGGTTCTTGGTTTGCTTTTTTTCTTCAGAAGATAGAGAGGCCTGAAGTGCTCATTGTCTGCGATGCTTTCGACAGGGACCAATTGTTTGTGTGGATCCATTTGATTTACGATGAATTTGGTGAGTTTTTTAAACATTCTGGCTGTGGCTGAAGTTTTGAAACAAAGCCAAGGGGATTTGTGCCTTGGGAAAGAGGGAACACAAGCTAAGCTGAATTACTTGAAATAATAGGAGGACATTGTAACAAAGTGTGACTTTAAGAAGATTTCAAAATAGTGACTCAAAATTCCCCTCACTGTCCAAGGACTCAAGATTCACAGGGTTGTTTCAGGGAGTCTTTTAAGAGGAAGCAGCAGGGCCTGTGGGTTTTTTCGCCTTTTCCCCCTTTGCTGGTGTGCCTCAGTGATTGTGCAGAGAAAGTACAGCTAGTACACCCCCAGGCTACTGATTTTGGAGACAAGAATAGAGAATAGAGACCTAAGCTCAGCTCAGCCCGGCTTTATTGAGCAGGCCCGGTTGGTCTGCAGGGGAGAGCTGGTGTTTGAGGGCCAGAAAGAAATCCCTGTTTCTTTTCTGAGACAGCTTGTTTTTATCAAAAAGTTTCAGTTTCACTTTTCTGGTGTTTTACGAGAAAGAGATGGAGAGAAGAAATTGGGCAATCCAGACTGGCTTGGATGGGAAGGGACCTTAAAGCTCATCCCATTCCTCTCCCTAACATTGTCAGGGACACCTCCCACTATCCCAGGTTGCTCCAAGCCCCATCCAGCCTGGCCTTGGACACTTCCAGGGACGTGGGCCAGCTGGTGCCAGTGCCTGACCACCCTCACACAGAGGAATTTCTTCCCAATATCCCATCTAACACTACTTTGTTTCAGTTTGAACCATTCCAAAGACAAGGAACTTTGAGTGCTCAATGTTATAGCGCTTCTCAGCTCTTTGACTTGGAACTCTCCAAGAAAGGAAGAAAAACTAAACAAGAGCACTTAACAGAGAGCTCCCACCAGCCCACTCCCCTACCCAAAGCTCTGGGATAATGCACTTGCCTGTGTGTGGGGTGGGAGATGTGCAGAGCAGAGCGTGGGGCTGCTGAGGTGATGTGGCCACTGGAGAGCAGCAGGACAGGGGAGAAGTTCTCTGACTTCTGCTCAGAGGTGTGGAAGTGTTTGCTAAGTGCAGGAGCCATGAATCACACAGGAAGCTCGCACCACCACAAACACAGAGCAAAGAGTAAATGGATTTCTCTTACCTTGCTAATGGGGGACTGCCTGAAGCAACACCTGGGCAGGGGCAGTGTTAGGTCCGATCTGTGCTGGAAGACCTCTGGCTGTACCCAGCAGCTTACGAGGAGTTGTTCCCAGCTGTGAGGTCACAGCAATTTTACATCCTCATCACCAGTACCTACTTCCACAAATTGGCTGTTGCTTACGTAACACTTCCTTTTTGGTCACTGAGCAAAGTCTGTTACAGGGGCTGTGCATTACTGGAACTTCTACAGATGTAGGAGATGTGAGCCCATGCCTGGAAGTGTCCCAGGCCAGATTGGAGAGGAATGTGTCCCTGCCCCTGGCAGCAGGTGGGACTGGATGGCTTCAAGGTCCCTTCAAGCCAAACCATTCCATCACTGCATGATTCAAATTTATTGAGCCAGGTAATGCTGCTGTTCTTTGACAGATGGAGAAATGAACTCAGGAGGGGATATTGACAAGAAATTCCTCTCTGTGAGGGTGGTGTGGCCCCAGAACAGGTTTCCCAGAGCAGCTGTGGCTCCGTGGGAGTGTCCAAAGCCAGGTTGGATGTGGCTTGGAGCAACCTGGGCTAGTGGAAGGTGTCCCTGCCCATGGCAGGGGGTGGGAATTGCCCTGGAGCCTTAAGGTGCCTTCCAACCCGAGCCATTCCATGTTTCCTGTAGTCACTGCCAGGCTTGTATGACAGCAAAAACCATCCATGTGAAGATTCCAGGACTCAAGTGCACATTTTTACCTGAATACTTCATTTTTATTAGTCTCTCTTAGAATACTGTACAAAGGAGTAATAAAAATATTCACACTTTATTTTAGAAAGTTCTCTACATGAGACTTCTGTATCCACAGCAAAAAAGAAGGCTATGGGAAAAAAACCCTAAAATTTTGTACAGAACATTCCTTTAAAAACCCTCCCAACTAATTCAGCTGATTTAACTGATCCAAGGAGGGTATGGACACACCAACACTCACATGCTTAAAAGATATTCTAGGCAATGATAAAGCAACATAAGTCACAAGAAGGAATATTAACGTGTTAACCCACTGCTGTCCCCTCCTCGAGGGCCAGTATCGAGCTTTTAAAAACAACCCAAAATTGAACAGTGATTCAAACATAAAAGTACTCGAGAATAAGTAGCCCTCCATTTAGTTTAATTTTATAGGCTTTTTTCCTGCAAAGGTTTGGGCTGTTTGCCAGCCTGGTAGTTCTGTGAAAGGATTCCCGGGTCAGGATCCCTGATTCAGGAGCATCAGGCTGGGAGGACTTGCTGGTTTTCTGAGTGTCCTGGAGCAGGGGCTGCCGTACCCCACGGGTGGTGCTGACAGTGGCTCAGGAGGCTTCGCCAAGTACAAGATGGGACAGGCTGCTGCCAGCTCCTGAGAAGGCTTCCAGCCTTTCAAAAACAGGAAAGCTTAAAGCAACTTACCAGTTCTTTTTCCATCACAGGAGATTTGATCTCTCCAGGTAGGAACTTGTCCTGATCATGATACAGGACCAGTGTGAGAGGAAAGCTGTCAAGCGTGATGTCATCAGAATCCCATTTAAAATTAGTAACAATCAGTTATCTCCTCCACGCAGCACCACATCTGCTCACATTTCGTTTCTCCTCCCCCAATGTGGCTTCACCCCTGATTTGTCCTCTGCCAGGACATGTCTGACCACCCCTCATCCTTTCACTTCAGACTGCCTCAGGTACACCCAAGAATGGTGGTTTAATTACAATTAACTTCCTGCTTTTTATTTTTGATTGATCCTGACACCTACCCTTAAGTTGGGATCTTAAGGAAGATGCTACCCAACGTGTAATTGTTCAAATACATATAAATCATATATAAATACTTAACTCACCACAATAGAATGTGAAATCTTACTTCAACTCACTTCTTTCCATACTCCTTATGTTTCCATTTATGTTTCCATTTATGTTTCCCTTGATTGGATTAACTGAGTCTAATTAATCTCAGTCATTTCATGGAAAAATGCCACACCTGTGTTGTAATGACTCTGGAATTGGCTGTTTTGATAATTTGTGTGAAGCAGAGCAATCAAAAAATATTTACTTTTGTTGCTAGGCAGAGTCTTAATTAAAGTTTGGGGCTTTACGCTTTAGAACCTCTTGTTTGAGAAATTTATAATTCCATTCTGAGTCCCAGTTCATCTTTAATTTAAGGAAACAGGTTCAGATGACCAGAGTGTCAGTGACCACACAAGTGTTCAAACCCGCAGCTGTGTTAAAGCCTTCAAGGAGACTCTGGGAATTGCTGTATCTCATTAAAAAAAAAGCCAATCCTTTCAATTGATAATTACTCTAAATTTACAAATCTGCAATGGGCATATGCTTAGAAATACCCAGCATATATCTGTGAGGAGTCATGTTTGAAAGCATCTAGAGGCTGTTTCTGTTGCAAAAAAAAGATAGTGTTTCTCATGTTTTCTATGGCAATAATTAGTTTTCTTTCATTTCTCCTGGAGGTGGAAGTGGTGTCTGGGCAGGCACTCAGGTCTGTTCAGCACCACAATCAGCATTTCAACTCCAGCCTCAGGCACCCTGCCAGGACCTGCCCCTCCTTGGAGCAGCTTCTCCTGCAGGAATATTGCTCATTTCTGTGTCATTTCCCAGCTGATTGATGAAATATCTCTATTTTTATCACAATTATCATTGTCTAGTAGCTTAAAGAGCCGATTAGGGTAGAGAGTACCTCAGCTAAAGCAGCAGCTCTTCTATCCTAGATTTGAAGGTTTAAACTGCCCATCAAGGAAATTGCACATCTGTCAATACCCTGGGGTCTCCAGCCAGATTCTCTTCTCCTTTCACCTGCTTGAAAACTTCATTTTCACTTGGATTTCCACTTTCCAAACATTAGGGAATGATTCTCCCTGCATTCCAGCAGCCCTCTGAGGTACACTCCATATTTTCCCTTCCCTGTAGCAGTCCCAAAGGAAGTCTGAGAGAGAAGTGAAGCAACTTGCCTAAAATTATGTATGGAGTAGTAACAGATCTAAAAATTCCCCCTTCCATGTCCCATGCTCAGACCATCCAAAACCTCAACACTCTCCACCACATCCTCTAAAGCTGGATTTGCTACTGCAAGGACAAAAAAAAACCAAACCCAGATTTAAAAGATTTATACCATTGTCAAAAAAAAGTGAGACAATATAAGCACTAAGACAACAAAAATATAGGTTTTTGTGGGGTTACAGGGGAAGAGTGAGGGAAAACTCATTCCATCTGGGACACAACCCAAAGGGAAATCAGGTCATTCTGATTTTCAGTAAAATATTAAAAGCTATCTCAGCCAGGAAACCTGAACCTGCTTTATTTAGGTGGTAATTTTAGAGGAAAAAGGCTTGATTTTGTCCCTCTGTGAAAGGATCTACTATCAGTGACAAATTGACTCCTTTGCTGGTCAATTCATCTGCTGCTGGTGCTGCTGCTCACACAGCCCTTGGGCATGGAGCTGAGGGACAGATTTCCAGGTAAGCCAGAAATCCAACCCTCGAGTCTGTGGAGAACTGGCAAATCCCAGTCACGTGCACTTAAGCAACCAAGGAGCTGAGGAGAAAAATTCCAAGTCAAGGATGGCTGCATGCTTGATTAGAGCAATCAGCCCTCCTCCTGTACCTGCCCACTGTCAGCCTCTCCCACACCTGTCCATGTTCCAAGGAGCTCCATTAAATCACCTGCCCTCAGCCCTTGATCCAAATGCTCACTCTGAGCCCCTGTGCACTTAAAACCAGCAGTTTGGGGTGGGGAAAGGAGTTACCTGGGCAGATTTGGGTATAAACTGAAAATAACAAGCATGATTTTGGATCTATCCACCTTTTCCCTGGACCATATGGATGCTGCTGTAGGAAACCAAAAACTTTGTCAAACTGCAGGTCATTTCTTCCTGTGCTGTTTTTAGGAAAGGAACTTCCCTTCTCAGTGGTGTCAACGATTGCAAAATAAAAATCTGTCCTTCACTTCCCCCGCCTACTTCCCACCTAAAACTGGAAATCAGACCAGAAAACAATCCAGTCCTGGGAAAGTCTGTCTGTATCCCTTTGGATTTCCCTCATGTTCTGCTCAAAGCACCCACCTTCAGGAAGGGAAATGTATTCTAAAGTGCATTTACCACAGCAATAGTACCAGCACTAAAAGCTTTTCCCCTCATCCCTATCCTCGTCATTCCATGTCTGGAATAGATGAGACTCTTCCCAGAATTCATCCTTGTTGTACCTCAAAGTCTCAGTGACGATCTATTGATGACCCTGGGAGAAGAGAAATCCGGTGTCGCACGTCCTGCTCCGCACTAAACTCTACTCTGGAGCTGGTTTGGATATATTGGGCACGAGGATCCAGCATGCGGAATGTGTCTGTTGGGATCTGCGTTTCAAGAGCCGCTGCCAAACCACATCCCAGTCTGCGTGGGGCGAGGAAACGGGGCTGGAGAGGAGAACCCCCCTCGGCCCCGCTCCTCCGCCATCCGCTCCGGCCATGCCGCTCAGTACTTGTTGATCCCGAAGATCCGGACTCCGTGGAACTGAGGCAGTTTGGGGATCAGGACGCTCATGAGGGAGATGGTGTTGATGATGAAGTGTATCCGGTCGTACTTGGTGTAGAAGCTGGTTAGAAAATACCTGGAAAAGGTACGGAGAGGCAAACTGAGCTGTGGCATTCCATGTGTTTGCCTCCCAGGACAGAACACTGATGGCTACTGGGACACTGAGGCGGCTTATCCCCAGAATACTCACAGGACGATGGGCATGATGGTGAGGAACTTGCGGGAAGCGGTGAACTGGACTCCATAATCCATCTGCTCCCAGTGCGTGAGCAGCCGCGCCTTGCCCTGGTCCGGGGTCTCGAAGGGGGTTCCCTTCACGGTGTGCAGGAAGATGTACATGCTCTGCAGGACACACAGCGTGAGGCACACGGGGCCCTGCACCCCAAAAACCAGACCCAGGGCAGCGCATCTGGGCCCTTGCACCCCCGCGCCGTTCCACTAGAGGGATGTGGCACTGCTGGAAAAGCCGGAGCGGCCGGGGAAGCAGGGAAAGGAGAGCTGGGAAAGGCTCGGCTGCCCCACGTCAGACCTCTGGCTCGGCTCCTGGGTGTGAGCCAAGGAGGCGGTGGCGAGATTACAGCCCTGGCATCTCTGCGATCGGGAGATTAGCGCCTGCCTGCTGCCTGAAGGCTCCCCGAAAATGTGCTGGGAGAAGGTCTGTCACCCCCTGATTACCAGGGGAACACGAGTCACAGACAAACATTCCACCTCCGAAGTACAGCCACTCCTGGCCTTTAAATTCCTTTTTGTCCCCAGAAACTAAAGCTGCCAGAGAAGATGGGTGAGGAGCCAGCAGCTCGTGAGCTGAGTGCTGAGCAGCTCCAGTCTGGGGCTTTGTGGTTGTTTTTATCTCCTGAGCAGCTCCAGTTTGAGGGTTTGTGGAGGTTTTTATCTCCTGAGCAGCTCCAGTTTGGGCGTTTGTGGAGGTTTTTATCCCCCACTAGTAATAACTTACCATGAGGGTCCTCAATCCCT